CTTTATCTCAGGATAGAAAAAAAGAGTTCTGTACCGTCTTCTTTTGTAATCTCCAATTTAAAGGCCTCCCGCTGCCAGATGTAATCTTTGAGCAAATCTTTGGTTAAATCTGCTGCTGTGCGTTGCACCTCGAGCAATCGTGCTCGGGTCTCGGCAGCTTCATCGATAACGGCGGGGGTGGGGGAGGACGGGATATGATAAATTGAGTATGCGACAGCGTCGTCGGGAAGTTCTGGTTTTGGGATCGGACGGAAGGTCGATTGAAACCATGCGCGATCCTCTTCAGTAGTCATGGCTGATTTTGTGTTGTTAAAGACAGTGAATGACCTCATGCATTCTTCTGATAGAAAAAAAGTAAAAGCGGCGAAATCACATCCCGTGATCCACACGCTAAACCCAATTAGGTTAGAAATCAACAGAGGTGTCAACGCTAAGCCTAACACAGCCGGGGATAACTCGCCCAAAACACGTCTGTGATCGTCAAGCGTGAACTTTCAGTACACAACTTCGTTCCTGCCCTGATTGACGGTGATGGTCACGCGCTGAAAGGTTTTGGCCCACCTCTCCCTGTTCAAACATGGCCTTCCCCTACATCGACACACCGCGGACCGAGTACGACGGCAACGCGACTTACCTTACAACCGGATTTCGCAGCGCGGGGCGGCAGCACTTATCTGCACTCGATTCTCTTGAAAATTCATTTCAGACACCGTCCAAGGACAATGATGTGATTAAAGGGTTTGACAAACGCGTCACTCCGCGCGCCGGTGCTGCTTCCAAGTCAACAAGAAGCGCGTTACGACATCTTCCAGCAACAGCCCCCGAGAAGGGAGAGTTTACCCCGTTAATGAAGAGCGCAACAAAGAACAATTTCCTGAGGAATATGTCTGCGGCCCGAGGAACAGACGGTCCGAAAACCCCCGGGTATCAGCGAGAGACCCATCGCAGCAACGCCCACACACCCGGTTTGCCTGCTATGGACATGTCTGACATATACGAGGAGGATCGGACGATGGAGGAGCCAACTCCGGTTCCACATGCTGCAAGCAGTAGTGCGCAAAGTACACCATTGCCCGGGTATTCAGGACGCAACGGAGGAGCCCTGGGTGATGGAGGAAATAATTTGTCGCTTAAGGACCAAGCTATGGTATGATACATATACTGACTAGTAGATTTTAACGAGCTGCGGGCTAATTCTGACGTCCACAGGCCATTGATCAACTGAGCAAAGTCAATTTCAGTTTAAAGCTGAGGATTCACTTCATGGAAGAACAACTGCAAAAGGCTGGCCCGGAATACAATAACGAAGCCTTAAAAGAAAATAGGGAGCTCAAGGTCTTGCGACTAACGATGCAACGCGATATTTCCCGATACCGGAAGAGCCTCCAGCAAGCAGAGAAAGATCTCGAGGACTACCAGCTGCAGCTGGCGGAACTGAAGGAGAAATCATGGAGGGATCAAGCGGACCAGACGGTACAGCGTGAAATGGATATGATGCGCGAAGAGCTTGAATCGCGTGACAACGAACTCCGAGAAGCGCGCGACGAATTGAGGCACACCAAAGACACCAAATCACAAGAGATCGAGAAACTTCGAGACGATATTGAGGACTTAGAAGCAAGCTCGAGAGAGAAAGATCGGCTCCTCGAGGAACGAGAAGAGGAGCTTGAGGATCTGAAACGTAATGCCGAGGAGAATGGTGCAGCTTCAGAGCTCCAGCTTGAGCTAGACCGTGCCAAGGAGCAGATGCAAGAGCTCCATGATAGTCTTGCCCGGGCCAATTCCGAGACAAAAGAGTCACAGGATGCTGCAAGACAAGCCATTGAAGAAAAGGATCGTGTCGAGGAGGATTTGAGAGAGCTACAAGACGAAATGTCTAACAAATCTTTTACCACCAAAGGACTGAGCCGGCAAATGGAGGACAGGACTGAAAAACTGGAAGAAGAGATACGCCAGCTGCGACGAGAGAACGATTCTCTAACGACAGAACTGGAGAGCAAATCCAACCATGCGACTCTCCTCGAAGAGCGGTATCAAACTATTCAACATAGCCTAGAAGATAACGCCAACCAACTGGTTGAGGATCTAAGTGCGGCCAGGCGTGATCGCGACCAAGCCCGACAGGAACTCAGAACCACTTCTGCCCGACTACAGGAGGCCTTGGACGAACTCCAGCGCGGAACGGACGAAAAGGAACTTCTTCAAACTCGCCATAATGCGCTGACGAATGAATCGGGAGGGCTACAACTCGAACTCGATCGTGCACAATCTAGAATTCGCGAACTTCAAAAAGCGGTTCAAGACGCCACATCTCGCGCTCAGGATGAAGGACACAACCTTCGCTGGCAGCACAAGGCGGAACTTGAACGGCTGCAAGAAGAGATCGAAAATCTTCACCACGAGATTGAGGAGAAGGAGGGCCAATTTGCAGTCGATCAAAGTCGATGGGAGAGCAGCAAGCGGTCTTTGCAATCAGAGAAAGAATGGGCAGAAGGCCAAGTGGCAGATTTGAAGCGCACCATCGACACGCTTCGGGAAGCAGGTAGCTCATACTCCGGGAAGGAATCCAGGCTTCAAGAGGTCATTGACAGCGAGAAAAAACGCTATACGCAAGAAAAGTCTATGCTGAACCGCCAAATCCAAGATCTCAAGGACGACCTCGATAAAACAAGACGCGACCTTGATGAAAAGCGAGATGAGCTTCTCGCGGTGAAGCAGGATGCTCGAGTGTCTAAACGCGAAGAGCTGGCACTTGTAGACAAGGTGCGAGCTCTGGAAGACGAGGTGATCGTTTTACAATCGAGTCTGGCGGATGAGCAAGAACTTGCCAAGGGTCGACAAAATGGGACATCTGACCTGGATAAAAGCCTAGAAAAGTCTATTGCCGAGAGACAGAAACTCCGTGACCAGCTCGCGAATGCCCATGTCGAGATCTTTGACCTGAAGACTTCGACGCAAGAGATTGAGGCTGAACGGGCCGAGCTCCAAGCTCAACTCGACCAAGTCCAGAACGCAGATGACGCCACCCGGTTTGACCGTGACAAACTTGAACTACGCAAGACCGTAACAAGACTTGACACCGAACTCAAAGTATTGAGAGACGCCAAGGCATCCCTTGAGGACCAGCTTATCTCGGAAAGTGAACGATTTGCAGCAGAGGAGGGTCGTCTTTCTGCTGAGATCGATCGCCTTCAGGATAAATTACTTGCTGGCTCGGGTAACCGAGATCGAGAACTTACTTCGGCCAAGACAAAGGTACAGCGCCTAGAGCGTCGCACCCAAGAGCTGGAAGCTCTTCTTGAGCAGCAGCCCGTTGCGGAGAATGAACAATCTGGCGCACATGGCGACCTCTCTTTACTTCGACACAGCCTAGAGGAGGCCAGGAAACGCGAAAAGATTTTGCTCCAGCGTGAATCCAAGCAGAAGACTTCTGCGCAAAGCTATAAGTCACGAGTTGAAGAATTGGAAAAGGATCTTCATGATGCGATGATGAACAAATTCGAGTCACACTCCCCACATAATTCTCCATCAAATAAGCTTCATGAAGAGCTACGCAGTCTACGAAAACAAGTGGCTGAAGCACACCGATCCCTTCAGAAGGTGAACATGAAGAACCGAGAGCTAGAACGTGCCGCGATGAAAGAAGAGGATCAAAAGGACTTCCATGAGCTCCTTAGGTCCTCTACCCTCGAAGCCGAATCATTAGCTCTGAAACTTTCTGAACGTGAAGCGCGCCTGAACGAACTGAAGACACATATGCGCCGGATTCGCGAAGAACGAGATGCTCACAAGCGCGAGGCCGAAGCAGCAACCAAAAATCTTGATTTGTTACAAAGACGCCACGACGAAATCCTCGAGAAAAACTCCCTTTCTAAGTCGACCAACAAGACCAAACATGAAAAAGAGATCCGAGGCCTAGGCAAGGAAATCATCTGGCTCCGCGCTCGCCTACAGCGGGAGGAAAAGTTCCGCCGTGATCTTGCCTGGAGCAAGGGCTTGATGGAACTTGGTGAACGCGTCCGAGTTGCATGGTTCGTACCTCCGTTTCTATCCAATATTTGCAACATAGCTAACAAGTTACCAGCAACGATGCCGATCTCCGTATGATTTCCGAGATGGGCGTGCACGCCCGTGACCGAGCTCCTATCCGCACTCCACGCCATAAGCTTAAATCCGCCATATCTCTCGTGAGAGCTGCTGTTCGCATGCAAAAGATGAGCAGTGATTGGAAGCGGACCAAGAAACTGGGCGAGGGCTTGAAGCGTGCTAAGACTGAAATGCTCAAGCGCCGTGATAGCTCGAATAAGAGCTTGCTTGGCCAGTAGCACTAGAAATCGCTGTGTTTATGTCATTCGTTGTGATTTTGTCTGTTCTTCCAGCGTCGACCTTCTGTCATGAGAGATTCCCCCGACATGTCTTGCAAGTATACTGCTTTTTTTCGACTTTATGTTTCTGTGTCTCTCTTTATTCTTTATTGGGCGTTTTAGGGCTGGCTTTGTGCCGGTTTGTTCGAATCATATGTGCATAGTCATCCCAGCGAAGAATTTGATGATTCAAGAACAGTTATTCATTTATGTAGCATATGCCGCCGGTACAGGGATTGAGGTTGGGCATTAATTACACAAGCAATGGCGAAAGAAGCTAAGTTTGTAGTCTTCAAAGTAGGATGGATGTATGCTACTTGCACGCTTTCCTAGACACCAGGAATAGACACAGGTAATATTTGCTCAGCCAACGCCTCATTTGCCAAAAGTAATTGAAAAACGCTTCTAAACACCAAACTATTCGGACACACCCACCAAAAAAACATAGGAATCCGAAATGAAGCAAGCATTGACATAGACACAGATAAAGCGTATGAGAAAATAGAGACTATGGGCAAGGGATATTCAGCATTGTCCTCTCTGGACAAGTCAAGGAGCCAGGATTTTATGCTGTTGATCAACTGAGGTGGAAAAATTCACCATGGGAAGAAATATCGATCATTTCGGAAGATACGCTCAGGCGCCTTCACTGCCGAATTCCTTAGTCCATTCAGCGTTCCTTGTGAGATCCTCTCCGCTAACGGTTGGCCGAGAGTTCTTAACTGCCTTGATGAAATCCTTCAGAGTAAGAGCTGGCTCCAAAAGCTTATCTGCATCGATGTCGAGCCAGCTCATTTCCACTGCGCCCGCATCCCCTGGTGAGCAAGGAGTGACTTTCTCTACGCCCTCGACAAGTACCTGTAATAGAGACGAATTAGTCGCCGTGGATTGGAATGGTAAGAATGGAATATACAGACCTTCTTATAATGTGTTGCTCCTTGGATCTTGCGAATTGGCTGCATCAGTGCATCCTGCACGGCAATACTAATATCACTACCGGAGTAGCCCTCGCTTAGCTCGGCCAATTGGCGATAGTCGGTCTGGGTCATTTGACACGGTGTTGTGCCCACGGCCAGCATGAACATCTTCATTCGTGCATTGAGGTCCGGAAGACTGATGTGTACTCTTCGCTGGAATCGTCGTCGAATAGCAGCATCCAGTTGCCAGGGAATATTGGTTGCGCCCAGGATCAAAACGCCCTTCGAGTCATTACCGACACCATCCATCTGTACAAGTAATTCGGTTTTGATACGCCGTGAGGCCTCGGATTCTCCTTCGCCACGGGGTCCGCACAGCGCATCGACCTCGTCGATGAAGATGATCGCAGGCTTATTCTCACGGGCCATGTTAAACAACTGCTTAACAAGTCTAAATGCGCATTAGTACACAACGCTCGAAGCACCCGGGAATAAAAATGTCGCCCTACCTTTCACTCTCACCCATCCACTTCGAGACCAGGTCACTACTGCTGACACTGAAGAATGTGCTGTTTGCCTCAGTAGCCACGGCTTTGGCAAGATAAGATTTTCCCGTACCGGGAGGACCGTAGAGCAAGATACCCTTCCAGGGTTGGCGCTTTCCAGTGAACAAATGGGGGAACTTGATGGGAAGAATGACTGCTTCCTTCAATGCCTCCTTTGCGTTCTCCAGACCAGCAACATCCTCCCACTTCACGTTCGGCTTGTCCGACAGAATAGCTCCCTGAAGCGCTGATCGAAGCTTTTTCGCTTCCGCATCTTCGGCATCGTCATCTTCCTTCCTGCGCGATCCAGTGTTGTTAGCGGGAATAACGCAGGACAAGAGTTACTCGCTAACACCTCCTATCACACACATGGCTGTGCTAGAGATATAGACTCTTGTCAAGAGAAGTCGAGTACATACCCTCCCTTCCCACTGCCTTGCGCCACCTTCCCATTTGCGCCAACCGCACTTGGTTTTTTCTTGTCCTCTGCCAGGTGATTCTTAAGTTTCTCCGCGCGATCCATATATTCGCCAGCCTTTGAGCGAATCATCTCCTTTGATTTTGGGTTCTTCTCCCATTTCAAGGCCAGCATGAACAACTCCAGTGCGGAGTAGTACATCTGATAAGCCTTTTCGTACTCGCCATCGTTGTCATTCTCGATCGCCTTCTTGACCGTATCGATCGCCCGCCCCAGGAAATCTGTATTGCTCATGATAAACAATGCGTGTGCTATCTGGGGTAGAGGTAGCGAGTCGACCGCGGAGGCAGATGTGATAAAGCGGGGAGAGGGGAGCAAGGGTCAGGCAATGGGCCAAGGCTGGATGAATAGGCAGCAACCTGCTAGAAGAGAAAATTTGAAGCTTCTTTGGAGTAGAAGAAAAGAAGAGGTGTAAAACAAGCCTAGAACCGAGGATTGATGGGAATTGGAGGGGAAAGTGAGAGTGGAAGTTGTTTACGGGCGGGAAGCCATTGATTTTCCCTCCTCCCACTTCACCTCCAACTTCACCATGGACCCCCAGAAACAGCTCCAAGCACTCTCGGAAGAGTTCCAGGGACTTCAGTCCGGTATGGCTATATATCTAATTGATGACAGCAATAACTACTGACCTTTCCCCCGCATCCAGAGCTTGAGGTTCTGGTCGACGCCCGCCAGAAACTCGAATCGCAGCAGCAAGAGAACGAAGGCGTGCAGACCGAGTTCGCACAGCTAGATGATGATTCCAACATTTATAAGCTCGTTGGCCCGGTGCTGTTGAAGCAGGATAAGACCGAAGCTACGATGGCCGTCAACGGTCGCTTGGAGTTCATTGAGAAGGAGATGTTAGTACTACTGCTTCGGGCCCTATGAACCAACGAAAATATATGCTGACTGAGAACCCACAGCAAGCGAATTGAAGGCGAGATTAGTGCGACACAAGAAAAGAGCGAGAAGATGCGCTCAGAGGTAAGCCCTCTTCCAACTACAACCCACCCCCACCATATTCATATTCTGACCCCTCATCCAGCTCATCCAACTCCAAAGCCAGGCCCAACAGGCTGCTGCTGCTTCGGCCTCCGCATAAGGTCAAAAACTCCAAGAACCCGCAGGCAAAGAATGATATATTACCCGGAGATGCAATATGTTGCTTGTGAGCTACGAGGCTGGCGCCGGATGTAACCAGCCACCAACCGGTTCACTGTGACTGAGTAGGTGCACTATGCAACTGTGAACCCTATAGTGCAGGTATGATATCTCAAGGAATGCTTGGGTATTGATCAAATCCCAATTGAGTTGGGGTAGCTTGGAAATGTATGATCTGTGCAGGTGCCCGACACCAGAACAGGGCATGGATCAGAAAGATATACCCTCGAAATTTAGTGCAATACTATCAAAAGTGATCAATTGGTGTTTGGATATGGGAATTATCTAATGTCAATCATTCTAGCCTAGAATCAATCTATATACTTGCTTAAGTCTACCCAGATATATAGTTTACGGTTCAACCTTTTCTTGCTCCACGCCTTCAATATTGTATTAATATCCTCCAAATATTCTAGAACTCCATACATAAAAAGACATTAAAAAGGAGCCATGTGAATGGCCAAGAAGGCTATTTGAAAATACTCTCAAAGAAACCAGAGGATGGATGACTCGCAACGCTATGAAAGCAAAGGAAGATTATTTGTATATTGACAAAATTCTATTCATTGATTCATAATCAAACATTTATGTATGGAAAAATGTATCTAGGACTTGACCAGCAGGTTGGTTCCGGTCATCTCCTCGGGCTGCTCAACACCCATGGCAGCAAGAACAGTAGGCGCAACATCACCCAAGACACCGCCCTTCTTCAGGCTCCAGCCCTCAGGGGCGTTAGCCATAACGAAGGGAACCTTGTTAAGGGTGTGGGAGGTCTTGGGGGTGCCCTTCTCGTTGAGCATCTCCTCAGCGTTTCTGCAAATGTGTGTTAGTTGGCAGTTCTTTTGATGGTGTTCCTCTTTCGCAGAATAACTTACCCGTGATCGGCGGTGATGAACAGAATGTAGTTATTCTTCTTGCAAGCCTCATAGATCTCGCCAATAGCCTTGTCAGTGGCGGCAACACCCTGGATGGCGGCCTCGTACACGCCAGTGTGACCAACCATATCGGGAGGGGCGAAGTTGTTCATGACAAAGTCGAACTTGTGCTCGCCAAGACGCTCAGCCACCTTGGTGCCGACAGCAGCAGCACTCATCTTTGGGTCAAGATCGTAGGTAGCAACTCGGGGCGAAGGGATCATATCGCGCACTTCGCCGGGGAAATCCTTCTCGACACCACCGTTGAAGAAGAAAGTGACGTGAGCGTACTTCTCAGTCTCAGCAATGTGGCACTGCTGAAGGTTCTTCTTGGCGAGCCATTCGGCCAAGACATTACCCATGTGCTGCGGGGGGAAAGCAATATTGAACTTGTAGTCAGACTTGTACTGGGTCATGGTGGTGAGGTCGATGTTCTTGGGGTAGGGGAAGTCGGGACGCGGGGAACGGTCATGGTCGCCCAGCAGCTGAGTGATTTCACGGACACGGTCAGAGCGGTAGTTGAAGAAGAAGAGGGTATCGTTATCTGCACAGGCTCAATTAGTCGTCATGATCTCGCCTTTTGGGCTCGGTCCACACGTACCCTGAACACGGCGTTCCTTGCCACCAACAATGATAGGCTTCAGGAACTCATCATTCTCGCCCTTCTCGTAGCGCTCCCGGATAGTCTGTAGCGGGTCCGAGCTATCCTCGCCCTCGCCAGTGACCAGACCCTGGAGGCCAACCTCAACACGCTCCCAGCGCTTGTCGCGGTCCATGATGTAGTAGCGGCCAACGACAGTGGCGATCGCGCCAGTACCGAGCTCCTGAGTCCGTTGAAGCACCTGCTGCATGTACTTGTCGGCACTCTTAGGGTCGGTATCACGTCCATCGGCAAAGAAGTGGATGTAGACCTCGGGAATCTGCATGTCCTTGGCGACCTCAAGCAAGGCGAACAAGTGAGTAATGTTGGAGTGAACACCACCATCGGAGACCAATCCCAGAAGGTGCAGACGTCCATTGCCCTCCTTTGCACGGGTGAAAGCCTTGACAATGCTGGGCACCTTACCCATCTCGCCCTTCTTGAGGGTCTGGTCAATGCGAACACTATCCTGCCAGACAACACGGCCAGCACCAATGTTCAGGTGACCAACCTCACTGTTGCCCATCAGACCCTCAGGCAGACCAACAGCGAGCGAAGAGGCATCCAACTCGGCGAAGCCCTGAGCGGTCTTGGAGTTGGGCTCCGCGAAGCCGGACATGTATGGGGTATCGGCGGCGGCGATGGCATCTCCTTGGGGCGGGGAGTCGGGGCCTGCAATACCCCAGCCATCGATGACAACTATAAGGCTTATATTAGCTAGTGTATCTTTGAGGACCCGGGTGGTAGTCGGTCATACTCAAAGCAACTTTTTGGTCGACCGAAGCCATAGTGGGGTTTATTATAGTGATGGAATCACTAGAATTATACGAACACTGATCAATTGCTGAACCAAGAGAAATTTAATAAACTGACAAAGCTGCTCACCTTTTAGATAGATGTTTAGAGGAGAAGAGAACGAACCAAAGAGAATCAGACCACCTAACACAGAAAAAAAGGCCGCCGGTGAAGGAGGGGCAGGGGCCCCGACGTCACCGTCACCGGGTGCCAGGAGCGTATTTGCTGATATAAGCAAATATTGCAGTCCCGGGGCAGAGCTACGGGGTGTTTCTTCCGACTCTTCCCTAAAAATTTACCCCAGCCGGGTTCTACTCGTCACTCAGATATCTTTCCTCGGCATCTTCTTAATCAGAATTTCCGACAATGACTTCTCGATCTCCGCCAGTGGGCACTCCGCTCCTAAAATCTCCTATGCCCGAGACACCCTTTAATAAAGACGCGCCAACACCACCGCAAACAGTACCCTTCCCTTCACCACAGACCTTTGAGATAATTCCACCATTGCATGGGATTCTTTCTCGCTTGCTCTCCTCCAAGAGTCAGCAACCTGGTTCATCGGACGCACCCGGGGATACAACAGGGGTCCCGGGAGCTTCTCAAACACAGACCCAACAAGCACCTTCAAACATCCCAAATGGTGGGCACAATGGCAACAATGCATCTTCCCATGCTGTACCAGGAGTATCAGTTCTAGGTACAAACGCTCGTCCGCCGCTCGATGTGAAAACTCTCCCTACCGAAACCAGCTCTGTCAGGATTCGAATCCAGAAAGCCCGTACCGTCGTCGAAGGGCTACCAGATGTACATCGGTCTGTCGATGACCAACAAAGAGAGATTGCAGAGCTGGAGGGTCGCGTGAGACGTTTGCGCTCTGTCATCTCTGACTTTGGGGACCGAGCAGGAATGCTACATGACACGAGGACCGTGGAGGCATGAAGCTTGAAACCTTGGGGAATTTCAATTTACAGTAGGGAATTCTCAAGCCAGCCAGGTGCTGCGGGATCCTATGTTGGGTTATTAGGCGTTTATAAGGAAATACCCATATGTCTATTTTTTTTAGCGATCATTTCAAGACAGCAAAGGTGCCATCATGAAGTTATGTGGCAAATCCAGCAATTGATACTCCAGACTCCATTTTCTCTCTTCTCTCTTTTCTCGAAGGATTCAAAAGATTTAATTAGACTAAGGATATTAAGGAACATCAAACCAATCCGATCAAATTTTTTCCAAGTTACAAATTTTATAACCTAAAAACTCAATTCCGTCAGTTGTCTCCGATATCGTTGACTCAGACTTCGGCGCCTGAGGCAAAACGGCAGATCCCCCTCCCCCACCACTTCCATTTCTTTTTTTTCCCCTTCTCTCACCTCTCTTTCCCTCATATCACTTTTCATCTCAGAAAGACAGATTACCATCTTTCATCATGTCTTACGCTCTGTCCGAGTCCCACCGGGACGTGAGTACCATATCTGCCCTCATTTATAGCTAGATTACTAACTCATCTATAGCAAATGCACAACTCTCTCGTGTCCAGTGACCCTGAGATTGCTGCCATCATGGTACGTTGAAATACATCATTAGGACTTGCAATTGAATGCATTGTCCACAAAAAATTCAATGCTAATTCTTCTACTCGTACAGGAGAAGGAAATTCAGCGTCAGCGTGAGTCAATCGTTCTGATTGCCTCGGAGAACTTCACTTCCCGTGCTGTCTTCGATGCCCTTGGTTCGCCCATGTGCAACAAGTACTCTGAGGGTTACCCCGGTGCTCGTTACTACGGTGGCAACCAGCACATCGACGCCATTGAGATCACCTGCCAGCAGCGTGCTCTCAAGGCATTCAACCTTGACCCCGCCAAGTGGGGCGTCAACGTCCAGTGCCTTTCCGGCAGCCCCGCCAACCTCCAGGTTTACCAGGCTCTCATGCGTCCCCACGACCGCTTGATGGGTTTGGATCTCCCCCACGGTGGTCACTTGAGCCACGGCTACCAGACCCCCTCCCGCAAGATCTCTGCCGTCTCTACCTACTTCGAGACCTTCCCTTACCGTGTCAACCTCGAGACCGGTATCATTGACTATGACACCCTCGAGCGTAACGCTGAGATGTACCGCCCCAAGTGCCTGGTCGCCGGTACCTCCGCCTACTGCCGTCTGATCGACTACAAGCGCATGCGCGAGATTGCCGATAAGGTCGGCGCCTACCTCATCGTCGATATGGCTCACATCTCTGGCTTGATCGCTGCTGGTGTCATTCCCTCTCCCTTCGAGTATGCCGATGTGGTCACCACCACCACTCACAAGTCTCTCCGTGGCCCCCGTGGTGCCATGATCTTCTTCCGCAAGGGTGTCCGCAGCACCGACAAGGCCGGCAAGGAGGTCCTTTACGACCTTGAGAACCCTATCAACTTCTCCGTCTTCCCTGGCCACCAGGGTGGTCCCCACAACCACACCATCACTGCTCTCGCCGTTGCTCTCAAGCAGGTTGATACCCCTGAGTTCAAGCAGTACCAGGAGCAGGTCATCAAGAACGCTAAGGCCCTCGAGGAGGAGTTCAAGACTCTTGGCCACAAGCTCGTCTCTGACGGCACTGACAGCCACATGGTTCTCGTTGACCTCCGCGCCCACAGCCTTGATGGTGCCCGTGTTGAGGCCGTTTTGGAGCAGATCAACATTGCCTGCAACAAGAACTCTATCCCCGGTGACAAGTCGGCCCTCACTCCTTGCGGTATCCGCATTGGTGCCCCCGCCATGTCTTCCCGTGGTATGGGTGTTGAGGACTTCAAGCGCATTGCCCGCTACATTGATCAGTCCATCGCTCTCTGCAAGAAGATCCAGGGCGAGCTTCCCAAGGAGGCCAACAAGCTCAAGGACTTCAAGGCCAAGGTTTCCGATGATAGCGTCCCTGAGATCCTTGCCCTCCGCAAGGAGATTGCTCAATGGGCCAGCACCTTCCCTCTCCCCGTTTAAATGGGATATTGAGCGAGTATGAGTTACGGAAAAATAAAGCGGGATCTAAATCATGATTCCACGAGTTCAACATCATTTCGTATAACAAAAGAAAAATACATGGGTGCGTTTTTAGGGGTTAATTACCGGACTGCTTTTTCAACCTGACGCGGGTCATTGGGATATGGGAATGCTTTTTTTGCATGTGAAACGAGCAATTATTATTTTTGGCGGTTGGGCCTCGCACTTATTCAACAGCGGGCTCATATTTTAAGGAGGAAAAGTTCAACATTAATTGGGCGTCCTATGTACATTCTACAATCTATTCTCAACAGGATCTATAGAATCCAAGGACTATTTTCTTCTCTTTCGTCTTCTATTTCTAGGACTAGATCACGCTATTTGTCCTCCCAAGCGTGTGAAAAGCTCAACTTCCATTCGTTCAGCCGCATCTGGTTGTTCGAGAATGCTGGCCACTGGATCTTCTCCAAGATCCTCTTCCCATATTGGCTCTAGTTCTGCATTGGCCTTTAGAGCTTTGTACAGGCACATACGCAAATGCCAACGAAGGAGATCGGCACTCACGCACTCGGTCCCACATCGGGCAGAGCTTCTGAGACGATTACCGCCCATTCCCTCGGGATCCGGTGCGAATACGATAATCTTGTAATCCGCCTATGTTCATAGGTATTAGTATATATTGGCAAAATGTCACTGTTAAACTTCGGTCTCACATCGGGATCAACTCCTAGTTGGAATTGATCAAACAGACAATGAACTTCTGCACCGAGGAGGAGCCCATTCTGGATAGAATAGAGACCAGACTCTCCAATCTCACTAGTTGGGCGAGTGTCGGTAATGTACTGCCTGTATCCCTGTTTTGTCCATTCCCCTAGCATGCTCACGGGGAATATATGCGTAGCTTCGAGGCCGAGGAAAGGTTGCTCAAGTGTCCGTGCCGCGCTCCTCCCGGTAATTGCACAGCGATCATCTCTTTTGCGGAGGCTGTTGCGGAATTTGATTTGCTGTATAAACCATTAGCCTTGTCATTGTCTACCTCTGGCCATTCTATACTCTACCAGCTGGTCGCATTCACTGTAGCCCTGTGATTTGGGACTGATGTCATGGGTTCTAATGCGGCGTGGCGCACTGTTGGTTGTCAAATTGACAGTGATGGGGTTTTGATCTATGTAGATATCAACATTGGAGACTTTCATATAGTTACACCAGGAGAGAATATGTACCTTGATCGAGAACAATGTAGTCGCCAGGGTTCACTGAGGTACGGCCACTAGACCGGAGTATACCTCCTGTTGCGCCGGTCTTAAGCAATCTAAAGATTCCCCAGTTCTTCTCCTCGGGAAAGAGGAATATCAATGAACAATACCGATATAACATTTCACCAGATATATATCGATGCCGTTGTTCCGTTGGGATTAGCATTGCTATAACAGTGCTGTATTAGTTGTCATACTGGCTCCTATCTATGAAGTTATCGTGACTTACCGGCAAGAAGAGAACCGTTGTCCTGGTATATCCGGAGGTTTAACTCCGGATATCTTGGTGTTTCCAGTACGCGAGTTGTCATATTGAACTCAATGGAGAACCAAAAAGGAGGTGACTCTATGTTATAATAAACCAGTGCTTCCTTTAGCTTGTCTCTGACGTCATGTGATAACAGTGCCCCTTCTCGTGAGGTGTCAATGCAGACACTCATCGGGGTCCATTCTCGTGAGGTGACACGATTATTGATTGGCTTGAGGTCGCTGAAACGTTCGGAATCATCAATTGGTCGCTTGGGAGTCAAGATCAGGGTATCATCGCATTCCTGTTTTTAGATTTCCGTTAGAATTGAAATTGAGAATAATAGGGACGCCGATTTTGAGGGAAGAGACAATTCGATCATTAGTTAGTTCGTAGAGGACTCACTGATCAGGCAGCCGGGACGTGCTACCAAGTTGGTGCGATTATGGCTGGTGTAAGATGATGTATTAAATATGCTAAGCAGCTACTTCTACGGCCTTGTTATGTCCACGGGTCTTTTCAACGATCTTTTCAACGGTCTTTTCTACGGTCTTTTCTACGGTCTTTTCTACGGTCTTTTCAACGGTCTTTTCAACGGTCTTTCTAAAAGACTTTCTAGCAAGTCTTGCTTATAGTCTGTGTGACAGTCTTCTGGGGCGACGAAAAGATGTATGTTGTAAGCCGACTTTCCCCAGAAGTATATGTAGAAAGTGGGGATATATGGAAATGATATAGGCCCGTTAGCGTAGGGTGATTCCTTGGAGCAACGCCCATTTTATCCGGCTATAAATTCAGCGAGAAGGGTATTCAAAAAAACATAATATATGGAGGATTTATCCCACTTAAGGTACATTGCATTCTTTCACGCTTCTATAATTCGATGCACGAGAACGCAAGATCCTTGATTCTTGGGGGCCGTTGATGTCACTATTCCAAGTTATAAGACGGTGGATAACAGCGCAAATGATAATAACCCACCAGGTTATTGAAAAGATCCAGATGATGCCAGATTTTTGGGGATAGTGAAATGATTGCTTTTAAGATGTATTGTATACGATAATATATTGTAGGCAGAATCTGAAATGATACACTGGCGGTAGACTGAGACCCGGTTCACGTGAGCGGATAACGATTCCTTGGTTCTCTCTGTCTCTTCTCTCCCTGATTTGTTTCTGATTTGTTTCTTTTCTATACAATCTAATTTTCCTTTCTGCACTGCTTTATACTCATTCTACAGCCGAAATTCGCTCTTGGCGTTCTAGGCCCTATCGATAAGGCAGTATCTTATCACCCCCGGACTCTTGCGGAGACTACATACTTACACCAACTTGTGTTTGATTGAATCTGAAGCAGTGCAGTGCATCTTTAAGAATTCTTGAGTGAACCAAGAGCAGGAAATTTCCCAACATGGCGAATACGGCTCAATGCTACTATTGCTTTGAGTCCCTCCTCGCTTCATACGAGAACCGTGAGCCCACCACTCTGGCAGCCGTAGAGGCCTTATGGGAACAGCACGAGCAGACCAAGAAGTTGTCAAGTCTTAAAGAGCAAACTGAAGAAGAAGAGGAAGATACAGACCGACAGCAGTCCATAAATGAACAGGACGAAGATGACGATAGCAACCAATCGTCCCAGTCGAGTAGTCATCCCAAGCAGCTGCAACTCCGCAGCGTCAGTCGTCTTCAGAGCCAATTCCCCGCCTCTTCCAGTGCAGCTACGCCTTCGTCATCTGCATCCACACCTTCTTCCAACTCGCTACAGTCAAGCTCAACCAATATAACCACCCCAAGTGCCGCTTCCGAGTCCTCCCAGCTGAGATCTCCTGATCAACGATATCCCCTCTTCGTAACATGGAATACCGTCTCACCAAGCGGACGCAAGTCTCTACGCGGGTGCATAGGCACATTCGAGGGGCAGGAACTAGCAGCGGGGTTGAAGTCCTACGCTTTGACCTCGTACGTGGTTCCCAATACCCCTCTCTCGCTGCAAACAATGGTACAATCCTATCTTCTATATATTAGACTAACCCACACGTGACGTTGTTTTAGGGCCTTCGATGACACCCGTTTTGCACCTATTCCCAAATCCCTTCTGCCTTCGCTATCATGCTCTCTCACCCTCCTTGGGTCCTTCGAACCGTGTACAAATGCCATGGACTGGTCTCTGGGCACCCACGGGCTGCGGATCTCTTTCATTTACCGCGGCCGACGCTATGGCGCCACATATCTTCCCGACGTTGCTGTTGAGCAGGGCTGGACTAAAGAAGAGACCGTGGAGAGCTTGATGCGCAAGGCAGGATGGGATGGCAGTGGCGGCAGTACCGCAAGAAGACTGCTACGCGGTGCAGCTGGTGGAAACTCCAGCGCCGCTAAGCCTTGGGACCAGGTCTCGGATTTCCGTACTGTCAGATACCAGGGTCTCAAAGCAAGCGCTAGTTATGCGGAGTGGCAGGAATGGCGACAGTGGGTTCTCTCTCTAGATGATGGGGAGGAAATCCTGGAAGGCTCGGATTGATTGGCATTCATCTTTAGATTGCTTTGCTTTTCGTTCCGCATCTCACCAGTTCAAGTGGAACTGATGATTATAATGACCATGATGATGCTGCTTCTTTCGTTTTTCAGTTAACTTTGCGACATGGGCATTAATAAGGGATGGCAATGATGAGAATTCGATATGGCATATCCCGCTCCATTAAGATAGTGAACAAGCATTTCAAACGGAGACTCCCTAAATCATTGATTATAAGCACTGGTATCATTCATTGTATTGAATAATGGTGTAATATGAGACGTTGAAAAGGACCCGAGCAAAGATAAGCAAAGATAAAGTCCTAGACCAGAGAAGAGCAGCCAGCGATACTCCCATATCCGAATCCGAACCTCCCCAGAGCCGAAACACACGAAAGCAAAAGACACATATTCATGCATCCTAACGAGGAGTACGGCTCCACAACCCAGCAACCATCTCCTTGACTTTCCGCTCCTGAGCGCGGATCTGCTCCTCAGTCTGCCCACGCGCATTACCACGACTATCAATCTGCATCTGACTACCACCAGCATTAGCTTGAACAGACGGAGGAGCATTATGCTGCTCCTCGATGATCTCATCACCATTAACACGCTCAGGCTTAGGATCAACGCTCATGACGCCATCCATCATGAAGCCACCGCCCTCGCGGAGCTTGTTGATAGCCCGCACGGTGTCGATAGCACGGTGCAGCGTGCGGCGCGCGTTGAAGTTCTTCTTTACCGTAGGCAGCAGATCCTCGCCAGATCCGAAATTGGCATTTTCGTAGGGTAGGTTGACCCACGGGTGCTGGAGGGCTTCATGGGCTGTCATCCGTGACTGCGGGTTGACTGTCAGACAACTTTTGATGAAGTTGCGCGCTTCCTGCGATACACCGCGCCAGTACTCGAGCGGTGTGAATGAGTAATCTGCTGCTAGGATTGCTTGCATTTCTTCGAGATTGGAGTCCCGGTCGAAGGGCGTGTATCCGCATAGCAGGAAGTAGGTGATCACGCCGATGGCCCAGATGTCGCTGGAAGAGGATGGGTTGTTAACAACAGATAAATAGTCACAATGAGATAAACTTACACTGGCTTGCCATGGCCGCTCTTCTTGAAGATCTCTGGTGCCATGTATCCAGGCGTTCCGCAGGTTGTGGTCAAGACGTGGAACTGCTCCTCGTCCATGATCCTTGACAATCCGAAATCAGCAATCAATAAGTCGGCGTTGTCTTCTGGAGTGCGGAAAAGTAGGTTCTCCGGCTTCAGATCACGGTGCACGATCCCGTGGTCATGCAGATAGGCCACGGCGGAGAGAACTGCGCGCATAAGGTCTGCAGCGTCTGATTCATAGTAGCTGCCTTTGCGACAGATGCGGTCGAAGAGTTCTCCGCCGAGAGCAAGATCGGTGACAAGATATACTAGACAGCATTACTCGTGAGCGGGGGCGCAATTGGGGTTATCATGGAGCGGTGAAACACACGGTTGTTCATAGTCTCGAAGTAGTCGACCAGCGTGAGGATGTTCTGGTGGCCCAGCGACACCTTCTTCAATACAGCAATCTCATTCCGGACCTGTATATTTCAGACGTCAGTCATATTCCTGTCTCCGCGGTTGTAGTTCTCTAGCACACACCATATGCTCCCGCCCGGACATGAGACGCTTGTTGATGACCTTCGCCGCATAATAGCGACCGGTATCGATGTGCACACATTCCTTCACAACAGAGTATGATCCAGCACCCAGTGTCTTTCCGGTCTTGTATCGGCACGGCTGGACCTTCGGCTTCTGGCCGCTCGGGGGTTGTGCCGCCATTGCGAATAAAACCAAGTGCGGGATGCGCGACGCGAATTGTGGGGGGATTGGGAGGTTGTGCGACGCAAAGGGCGAGTAAAGGACTAAGAGTTGTGGCAGAGAAGTTCGACTGGAGCGTGAGATATGTCTATGTGCCTGTTCCTAATGTACCTGCGCAATCCAAAGTCAGCCTCGTAGTGTGGCACTGGGTCCACCGCGAATACCCCAAGGCAAGACAGCGCAGAGAAGACTCACAGTTGAGCGACAAGCGCTGATTACGCGTATATGGGATTATTGTATCCCAAACGTTCTGATGTTTGAGGGACTGCGGGGGTTTCGAAGTTGAAGATCCTGGGGGATCGTTGGCGGGGCTATCGAAGACGGGCTGAAACGTTCAATGAAACCAATCAAACGGCACAACTCCAAGAGTGTTGGTTGAAATAGAGCTTTAGAAGAACCTGAAAAGTAGAATTAAAGGGCGAGATATATTTTTTTAAAAAAATTATCGACGGCGCGATTATTGGAGAGGCATTTATCTGCCCAGTTGGTTATTTAAAACTATTTACATATCCCAACTCAACGCCAGCCCAATGCGAAACAAAGAAAAATAATAAAAAATTGTACAATCAAAATCGCTCAAGCACTTCCTCAACAACGTGTTCCAATAGCTGTAGCTTGTGGAATTTGGCCACGCTCTCCAATACTTGTAGTTTCTTCTCGATCTCCTTGCGATCAACTGTCTCGGTCCATGTACCACTGCAAGAAC